CTCACGCGCCTGGCGTGAGTTTAAGCCACCAGGTCCGGAACGTGAACCGCGGTCGACTACATGGGAGTCCAGCGGCATAGCCATTACGCTAACTGCTGGTCCCTACAGGACTGGCTTATTGAAGAGGGGCTCTCAAGAGTTGTTTTGTGTTCCTCTAAAGCTGGGGTGGCAAACTTTCTCTGTAGTGAACACCTAATAAATACCTTAGGTTTTGGAAGCAACATAACGTCTTTATCAAATTTTCTTTATATATATATATTTTTAAAACAATCCTTTAAAAACAAAAAAGCTGTTCTGATATAGAACAGATTATACATACTTGAGACTTAGGCAGACGGGCTGCAGGGTGGATTCTCTCTATCCCACCCTTATCCCTGGCCTTAGTGAGCCAGTCCCCACCAGCTGGCCCAGTAAAGTTATATTTTTAAAAAAAGAAATTTGGGGGGCTGGCAGGTGGTGAAGTTGGGACACTGGACTCCGTGGTTGACCGTGGTTTGAGTCCCGGACCTGGCGGCTTGCTTTCTCATTTTCTTCCTTTCTCTCTCTCTCTCTCTCTCTCGGTATATGCTTTCCGACCTCTTTCCTTATTTCCCCCCCCCCCCCCCCCCCCTGCCCCTCTCTGGTTAAATTAAAAGAAAGAAAGAAAGAGAGAGAAAGAGAAAGAAAGAAAGTTAAATAAGATTTAAAACTATTGTTTTTTTAAAAAAAGGAATTTGGGCTTCACAGTGAGAGCTCGACGGAGTCCTTCAAGGTTTTCAGCTAGGCAGAAATGTACAGTGGATGTGTACTTTAGAGAAACGGTTGTGGTCATGGTGTGGGGAATGGACGGCTGTGGGGCAAGATTAGAAGCAGGGAGCCTGGTTGGTGGCCTGTTTATAGCAGTCCAGGTAAGAGATGGTGGCCTAAGGAAGTGGTGGTGGGACTGAAGAGAAGCAGGATCCGGAGACAAAGGAGAAGAATGGCTCTGCTCTTATAATCGAGGTTCCACGTGGGTGAGGGAGAAGGCAGGCTACGGAGGATGATGGCTTCTGGTCCTCTGGGTCAGTCAGTTCATGGAAGAAGGAGCATAGGGAACCTTCGGTTTGTAGGGAAGCATGATGAGTTCAGGTGAAACAGGATGAGGGGCTCGTCCCCCAGCGTACCCGTGTGGAGAAATGCGTAGCCATGTTGACTGAGGGGCCTGTGTGGCTGGGAGGTTCCACCCCTAAGGCGCACAGATTAACCAGGTGGAATGAACGTCTTTCCCTCAGGTCTTTGCAAGAGAAGGGAACGTGCCCAATATCATCATCGCTGTAAGTGCTCAGTCCTGTCCTGTCGGTCCTCTTGGTGTTGTTCCCCTGTGCGCTCACGGGCATCCCTGTGCATGGATAGGCTTATATCGTTCCCTCGGCTGAGGGAAACGTGCCACTCCAGTTAGGCGGGAGGCCTCTGGTGAGTTGCTGTATGGATTGACCACGTGCTGTGGGGTTGGGAGGGTGAGTGCGAACCATGGTGAGCAGTAAAGCAGGAGCTACGTGCAGACCATTCTGGTGGTCACTTACTGGAGGTCTCATTCCTAGGGCCCCCCAGGAACTGGTAAGACGACAAGTATCCTGTGTTTGGCACGAGCCCTCCTGGGCCCAGCACTCAAGGATGCTGTTCTGGAACTCAATGCCTCAAATGACAGGTAGGTCTGGGAGTTGGGACTGAACGGTGGGTGGTGTGTTTTACCTTTCTTTTTTTAAAGAATTATTTCCTTTATTTTATCATTATTTTTAATTTGACCAGAGTGAGACAGAGACAGAGAGAGAGAGAGAAAGCAAGCAAACCACCAGGTCCAGGACTCAAACCATGGTCAGCCATGTGGGAGTCCAGCGCCTTTAACTACATACCACCTGCTGGCCCCTGTTTTACATTTTTGAACTGGAGCTTGCCTTGCCAGCTGGTTGTTTTCTTCTAATCCTTCCCAGTGAAAGAGCATGGAAATCGTTTGCTTATCAATGCAGCATGTGAGCACTTGACTTGGTTTACCTTTTTTTTTTCTGGAAATTAAAAATGTATATATATTATTATTGGGGCCAGCAGGTGGCAGAGTGGCCAAGGCACTAGACTCACACATAGCCAACCACAGTTCAAGTCCTGGACTTGGTGTCTTGCTTTCTTACTCCCCCTTCCCCGCCCCCGTTTCTCTCTAGTAGAACTTGTGGTCTATAGCAAATTAAATAATAAACAAAATTAAATAAATAATTGTTTAAAGAATTATTTTATTTAACTTTATTTATTTATTTTAATTCAACCAGAGAGGGACAGAGAGAGAAAGTGAGAAAGCAAGCCTCCAGATACAGGACTTAAACCATAATTGGCCATGTGGGAGTCTAGCACCCTTAACCACCACACCAACTGCAGGCCCTTTAAATAAATAATTTAAAAAATTATTATTATTGTTTTAGGCTTTTGCTATGGAAGGTGTATACTTACCAGAGAGACAGACAGAAGGAAAGCGAGAAATCACAACCCCCTCCCCGGGGGATGGCTACATCGCAATCCCTTCTTCATTCTCCTCTCAGGATTTTGGGCATCTACACACATGGCGCCTGGTATGATTTTTAAGCCACCAAGTCCAGGACTCAAACTGTGGTCGACCATGTGGGAATCCAGTGCCTTATACCACCACGCCAGCTGCTGGCCCCAAAATTCACTATCTTAGAGCTGAGCATGGTGGTGCACACCTGTGGTCTTAGCCCCCTGGGAGGCTAAGGCAGAAGGATCACAACATAGCAGAGCCATGTCTAAAACACTAGACAAACACCCATACAAGAAAAAAATAAAAGCAGTTGCCGTCTTAACCCTGCGTAAGCATATACATCAGTAACGTTAAATATATTCTCACTGGTGTACGGCCAGTCGCCAGGACTTCTTCAACGTGCAAAACTAAAACCGCCCATTAAACAACTCCCCGTTTCCCCTTCCCTGGCCTGTGGCAGCCGCCTTTCTGCTTTATTTTCCCGTGAATTGAATTACTGTAGGTACCTTATGTAAGTGTAATCAGGCAGTATTTGACTGGCTTATTTCACTCAGCCTAATGTCCTCAGGGTTCATCCGTGCAGTAGCATGTGTTAGAATTCCCTTTTTAGCTCAGAATCCTGAGCAGTGAGAGGGCTGTGGAAAGGGCGTCCCAGTGTGATGGGGCCCTGCCACGGGTGCTTTCTCTGTCTCCCTCCCCCACTCTTCTCACACACATATGCACTCTATCATTTAAAAAAAAAGAAAACAATGGGACCAGCAGTTAGCATAATGGCTGTCGCTGGACTCCCATGTAGCCGACCTCCGTTGGAGTCCTGGACCCGGTGGCTTAAACTCACGCTGGGCGCATGTGCGTGCGTGCCCAAGATCCCGAGAGGAGAATGGAGGAGAAGGGATTGCGGCGTGGCCATTCCCCCTGGGGGGTGAGTTCTCGCTTTCTGTCTCTGTGTTTCTGGTGAGCGCACGCGCCCTATGGCGAAAACCTCTCCAAAAAAAAGAAAACTAATAAAAAAGAAAGCAATGATAGTGTATCTGAACTTGGGTTTTCTTGAAATACAGTGAAGCACCTCAAGCAGCACAATGTAGGTGAGATGATTTTGACGGCCTGCCTTTCTTTTTTTAATTTACCAGAAGAATGTGTGCTCACCAGAGAGAAACCAAGGAAGGGGAGAAAATATCCCACTGGGGGCACGGTTATGCTGCAGTCCCTTCTCCATTTCTCCATCCTGTCAGCATTTGGGGTACACGTGCACACACCCTGGTGTGTTTTTCAAGTCTCTGGGGCTGAGATTTGAATCATGGTCAGCCATATAGAATCCGGCTCCCATAATCACTGAGCCATGGGGCTGACTGATAGTCTTGTCTTTTTAATTTAGATTTTTTGCCATAGGTTGTGCATACTCGCTAGAGAGAGACACACAGAGAGGAAAAGTGAGAAATCATCTTCCCTGGAAGAATGGCTGTGCCACAGTCCCTTCTCTTCCATTCTCTTGGGACTTTGGGCATGTACGCACTGGTGTCTGGCATGATTTTCAAGCCACCAGGTCTGGGTCTCTAACCAGGGAGATGGCCATGTGGGATCCAGCACCTTAACCTCCACGCCACCGCTGGTCTGTTTTTGTTTTTGTTTTCGCTAAAGGGACAGACACAGAGAAAGGGGGGGAAAGTGAGAAAGCTTCCCCTCATTGGGGATAGTCACGTTGTAATCCCAATCCCTTCTCCATCTCATCCTTCATGATTTTGGGCACTCAAGCACCTGGTGTTTTGTTTTGTTTTTTTTTTGGAGAGGTTTTTGTTATAAGGCGCGTGCGCTTGCCAGACAGACAGAGAGAGACAGAAAGTGAGAAATCACCCCCCGGGGGGATGGTCACGCCGCAGTCCCTTCTCCTCCATTCTCCTCTCGGGATCTTGGGCACGCATGCACACACACCCGGCGTGAGTTTAAGCTACCGGGTCCGGGACGCGAACCGCAGTCAACTACGTGGGAGTCCAGCGACATAACCATTACGCTAACTGCTGGTCCCCCTGGTGTATTTTTCAGGCTGCCAGATTTGGGTACCTGAATAGTTAAGCTGACCAATAGTTCTAGTTGCCTTAACCACCATAGCACCAGCTGACCTGATCATCTTTCCCCATTTTATCATCCTAGATAGTTCCCTCAGTCTTTCCTTTTCTGTCTTAATTCTTTTTAGCATAGGTAGGAGGAATAACTGATGAATTATGATGATACAGTTACTAGGATGATGGCATAACAAGCTATTTCAGGATATAAAAAGATTATTAAGGCCCCAAACATTTATTAGTGAGCGAGCGAGATGTCAGGGTGGTTAGAGCAGCAGGATCACACCTGATCACACACGCCCACCTGTGCAGTTTAAGTCCTGAACCCGGTGGCCTGGAAAACATGCAGGCTCCACGTGTGCGCGTGCATGCCCAAAACCTCAAGAGGAATAGAGAGTGCTTTATCGCTTTCTGTCTGTCTTTGTGTCTCCAGTGAGCAACGCGCCCTATAACAAATTAAAACCACATCTTAGATCATTAAAGGGTCCCCGTGGACCCATATGGTAATCAAAAGATAAAGTGAGTTTTTTTAGAGAGATTTTTGTTATAAGGCACATGCACTTGCCAGAGATAGAGAAAAGGGAAGAAATCACCTCCAGGGGGATGGGCATGCTACAGTCCCTTCTCTGTTTTCCTTTGGGATTTGGGGCATGCACACACACATGCCCAGCGTGAGTTTCAAGCCTCCAGGTCTGGGACTTGAACCATGGTCAGCCATGTGGGAGTCTAGCGATGTAATCATTACGCCATCTGCTAAAGTGAGTTTTATTCTGTTAAAAAAAATTAAATGTTTTCTTTGTTCTTTGGAAGACCTCCAAAAAAATAGACGTTATAGAATATTAATCCTTATAGTTAGAATTGCCCAAAAAGAAACTAATAAACTAAAATTGGGTCCCACAGTTACTGTTGATATACTGAAGGTTTGAAAGTCCTTGTGAAGGTAACTAAATTTGTCTCAGGTAACAGAGAAATCCTGGTTTATTGTTTCAGGGGCATTGATGTTGTGAGGAATAAAATCAAAATGTTTGCCCAGCAGAAAGTCACCCTTCCCAGAGGTCGACATAAGATTATCATTCTGGATGAAGCAGACAGGTAAAGTGCTTTGCCAAATATTCCGAGCTTGGTCTCTGAGTCACTTACTGGGTATTTTTAAGTCAGAGAAAAATGTACTTTCATGAAGGATATGCTAATACATTTTTTAAAAGTATTTAATTTTGTTATTATTATTTAAATTTTTATTTATTTTTTAAAGAATTATTTCATTTAACTTTTATTTATTTATTTATTTATTTATTTGGCTAGAAAGGGACAGACTGAATGAGAGTGAGAGAGTGTGTGAGAGAGGGAGAGAGGAAGTGAGAAAGCAAGTCACCAGGTCTGGGACTCAAGACCAGTTGGCCGTGTGGGAATCCAGCGCTCTTAAGCTCCGCACCACCTGCAGGCCCCAAATTATTTTATGTATTTATTTTAATTTGACCAGAGAGGAACAGAGTGAGAGAGAGAGAAAGCGCAAGCCCCCAGGTCTGGGATTAGAACCGCAGTCAGCCATGTGGGATCCCAGTGCCTTAACCACCATACCACCTACCAGTCCTGGTCTCCAAGGTTTTATTAGAAAAGTTGGCAGCCAATATTTTGGCCCTTCTCTTGAATTTTATATTATGGAGAACTGTAGAGACCAGGTTCTTCAAATGTGATTGCAGTCACTGTGGAGTTTGTGAATTTCTTTCCTTTTTTTTAATTTGACTTTATTTATTTGTTTTCATTTGACCAGAGAGGGACATAGTCGGGGGGTGGGGGGAGTGAGAAAACAAGCCTCCAGGCCAGGACTTGAACTGCTGTCGGCCATGTGGGAGCTGAGTATCTTAACCACCATGCCACCTGCTGGCCCTGAATTTTGTGAACTTCACTTAAGGATTGTCTTTGTGTGCTGAAGGTGCTAAGTACAGTTTGAGTGATCTTTGAGAGAGTAGCTTCTGGGTTTTAGCAGTGGTAGGGTGGCCACTTAATTCCAAGCCCCCTGTCTAGGGCGTTGTACGTGCTCTGTCCTGGGTTACTGTCCAGCAGGCCCTGGGTCCCAGTTGCAAACCATCTCCTTGTGCTTTTCTTCTCAGCATGACTGATGGAGCCCAGCAAGCCTTGAGGAGAACCATGGAAATCTACTCCAAAACGACTCGCTTTGCTCTGGCTTGTAACGCTTCGGATAAAATCATAGGTGAGTGTGAGCCCTGGGTGTCTGGGTCCACATGGCGTTCACCTGGGCTCGAGCAGCAGAAGAGTAGCCTCCAGGTCCAGGACTTGAACCATGCAGTTTGCCACATGGAATCCAGCCACCTTGACCTCCATGCCACCTGCTGACTTGGGACTTTTTCTTCATATTCATAAGGGAGAGAACACAAGAGGGAGAAAGAGAAAGATGAGTGTTTTTGATAGGATCTTGCCATGTCGTGACCCCCTGCCCCAGCCTCCCATGTCCCTGAGCCATTGCACAGTGATATCCTTCTGCTGGTGCCACTGTGGCTGAGCCAGGGGAAGGAATATTTTGAAGTTTATTCATTTATTTTTTACTTGAGGAAGAGAGGCAGGGGGTGGGGCCCAGCAGAGTCTTGACACCATGACCTGCCCCCAGCTTCATTCAGCGCTGGATCATGGGCAAGCACATGCTCGGTGTACTGAGGCAGGTCTCTGGGCTTGAACTGGGAACCCTCTGATCTAGGGTTGCCTTACAGACCACCGTGCTTTATTGCTGTACCAGAGGAACGGTTCTCCAAATACATGCTGAGCTGTCAGAAAAGCCATGATACATCTTTGTGTGTTGCCCTGTGCATAGCTGCGCCATGACTTTCCGGATGACCCGATACTCTTGTACGCTTTGTGTGCTCTGAGTCGTGTGGCATAGACAGACAGCTGGCTTTATTTGAACAGCTAGGAATTGCCCACCTTGAGGCTTGCACTTCATCCGATCTCTGACCTTGGTATTTGTCCTTCCAGTGCCTCCCTTCCTGTCTGTCTCCTTCCTCCCTGCATCGAGCCTTTCCATCTCGGGTGGGTTTCACGGCCTTCCCTTTCTGCTGTAGATGGCCCCTCGGCCCAGCTGCTCTCTCTCCAGATTATCGGAGCATCTTGTCCCACTGTCTTTGAGTCAGGCTGCCCTGCTAGCCCCAACTGTGTGAGCTCGTCACCTGCTGTCCCTTTCTGCACAGGCTGTGCACTCTGACAGACAAGCACACTCCACACGCGATCCGCACAGGGTCACGATTTCTAGCCTCAGTGGGGCTGTCAGTGCTGTCAGGAGCCCTTTACATACTTTTCACTTTCTCAGACGGCCATTGCGTTGCTCATGAAGTTATTCGGCCCTTGGCAAACGCTTACAATGCTCTCGGTGGGTGTCAGGCATCCTGCTCATGGTGAACAGCCAGAGTTAAGGAGAAATGTTCTCTACCCTCAAGACGTCAGTGTTGTAAGGGAGAAGTGTGTTCAGAGTTCTTGATTGGAGGGTGTGTGTAGCCGTGTCCCTCCCCAGTGAACGACCACTCCTCGAGGGCAGCGGTGGCCTTAATACATGCAGCTGCCACCCTGCGTGCGGCTGGCCAAAGGCTGTGTGCACACATGAGTTTGGTCAGTGATGTGGGACTGCCATTGTTGGCGAAGGAAGCTCTGACCTCCCTTTCAGGGAGCTCACTTTTATGATTCATTCAGCATGCTGGTGGCTTTTGCTTTCTGCAGGGCTGTAGTAGACACGTCATGAAATTCTTTAAAAATGTATTTCTTGGGACCAGCAGTTGGCGAAGTGGCTATGTCACTAGATTCCCATGTAGTTGACCATGGTTTGAGTCCTGGACCCGGTGGCTTAACTCATGTCTGGTGCGTGTGTGCCCAAGATACCAAGAGGAAAGTGGAGGAGAAGGGATTGCAGCGTGGCCATCCCCCTGGAGGGTGATTTCTCGCTTTCTGTCTCTCTCTGGCGAGCACACGTACCCTATAGCAAAAACCTCTCCAAAAAATAAAAAACCAACTCCAGTCTCTAAGTGTACTGTAAGTAAATATGTAAGTCAGGTCCCTCAGCCTGAGTTAGGGTTCATTGGGGAGTGTCCTGATTTTTGGGAGAGTTGACGTGGATGAACACCAAGGACAGCCGCTCCCTTTAGGCTCCTCCTCCTGTTAGACACAGAGCATGTTTTGTGGGCGGAGCGCCTGCCCTGTGCCAGGCATGGATGTGACATGCTTGCTGTGCACTGTGGCAGCAGCTCTGGCTGCAGCTCGGTCCCTGTCTCCCAGGTGCTCGCACAGAGAGAGGAGAGGACAGTGCCCACGTCAGCAGGCCCGAGTCAGCCCAGGGCTGCTGCCCCTGCTGTCTACCACGGCTAGCCCTTCACCAAGATGGAATCCCAGGGCGGCCCACCTCTGTGGTATCTGGAACACCCGTCCTACCCATGCCCAGACCTGGGTTACGCTTCCTCCCCCGGGTGGGTACAGTGTCCCCATGCTTCTCTCTCACTCAGTTCACGAGGTGGCTGTCAGAGTTACCCGAGGACAAGTCTGCCCTGCCGCTCCCCTGCTGTCCCTTCAGTGGTCTCCCACTGTATGCACAGTGGCTGCCCCAGGCTGGCACGCAGCTCTCACTTGCCCAAGCCCCATCTTCTCTCTGTGCACTGCAGCCTTGTGGGGTCTCACCAGGCACTGTACCCGTTTCTCACTCTTGTCTCCACATGTGCTGTTCCTCCTGCCTTCCCAGGCTGGGACACGCATCCTTGAGGACCCAGCTCAGAACTCTGCTCTTCTGTGGGACCAGCAGTTAGCACAATGGCTATGTCACTGGACTCCCATGTAGTCGACTGCGGTTCGCGTCCCGCACCCGGTAGCTTAAGGCTCACATTGGGCGCGTGTGCGTCTGTGCCCAAGATCCCGAGAAGAGAATGGAGGAGAAGGGATTGTGGCGTGGCCATCTCCCCTGGGGGGTGATTTCTCGCTTTCTGTCTCTCTATCTCTGTCTGTCTGGAGAGCGCACGCGCCCTATAGCAAAAAAACCTCTCCAAAAAAAAAAAGAACTCTGCTCTTCTGTGAAGTGTGTCTACCTCGTATTGAGCTGGTCCCATGACCCTCTGGTGGCACTGCGCCTCTCTGTGATGGCGTACTTGTGTGCTGAAGGGCCAGAGCTGGTCAGACTATCCATCCACAGCGGGCCAGCCAGTGGTGTGGCTAAGGTGGCTGAGTCCCACCTGGCCAACTGAGTGGTCCAAGTCTTAGATCTGGTGGCTGGAGAAATATGCCAGGTGCATGTGCTTGTGTACTTAACATTTTGAAAGGAATAAATGGAAGAAGGCTTACAGCATGGCTAGCTCCTATGGAGGGTGCTTTCTTTCTCTCTCTCTCTCTTCCTGTCTCCAGTGAGCACACACGCCTTCTTACAAAAATTAAAAATAAATATGACAAAATTTGGGGCCGGCAGATGGCATGGTACTTAAGGTGCTAGACTCCAACCTGGCTGACTATGGTTCAAGTCCTGGACCTGGCAGCCTCTTTCTCACTTTCTCTGTTTCTCTCTGGTCAAATTAAGAATATATAAATAAAAAAATTAAATAATTAATTCTTAAAAAATAAGTTTAACAAAATTTATTTTAAAAAATATTAATCTTTGGCATCCCCAGTACCTATGGAGGTGACTGGCTGATTTTTTATAAATATTCTAGATTGGCAGGAACAGGTGTTCTTTGAAGTGGAGTGTGAGAACAAAAGAGAGAGAGGCTGCTTCTTCCCGGCTGATCAGGCCATCTCATGAGGGGGCGGGTTTGGGAACTCTGAAAGACTGAATGGGAAGAGACTGAAGAGAGGACGCCCTCACTGGGAAGAACCCACTGAGAAAGGGCCGCGTCGGCCTGTTCCTGGGAGGAAGGTGCCAGCCCTGGGCTTAGGTGAGGGGATGACGAGGTTCGTAGACCAGGAGAGGACTTTGCAGGCCGGAAGAAGCGGGGCTGTATTGGAGAGTTAGTGTTTGGGAGCTTCCGAAGGGACTTTTGCAGGAAAAGGTGACAGATGGAGAAGGCCAGTGTGGTGCCCGCGCAGAGGAAGATTGCGAGGATGAGCAGACTGGGACTAGGGCACCGTGGGGAAGCCGTTGCAGCAGTCTGAGGCAGCAGTGGAGGAAAGTTCCAGAGTTCTGCCTCTATCTGCCTGGTGGCTCTCAGTCCCAGCTGTTATTAATAATACATGTGACAGAATCTCCTGGGAGGTGTCCCTACCCACCCCACCCTGACCGAAGGGCCCCCGCCAGCACGTGCTATGATTCCCAAGGCCACCTGGGCTGCGCTGAGTCACCCGAGGGCTGGTGGCACATGGATGCGTCTGTCCTGGAGGACTCTTCCCCCTTCTGGAGGCCGTGGCTTGCCAAGGTTATCCTGGGCAGTGCTGCCTGAGGCCTCTGTCCTTGCTTACTTGTTGGTGTCTTTGACACTTGGCCCTGTTTACCGAGTCCCTCCGGAGCACCTGCTGGCCAGGAGGACTGGCCCACGCAGCTGCATCCTGGTAGCCAGAGAACTAACAGGGCGGTGCCAGCCAGGGAAGCCTCACTCCTCGCCTCTCGTCAGAGCCCATCCAGTCCCGCTGCGCAGTCCTCCGCTACACAAAGCTGACCGACGCCCAGGTCCTCGCCAGGCTGATGAACGTGATCGAGAAGGAGAATGTGCAGTACACCGACGACGGCCTCGAAGCCATTATCTTCACCGCCCAGGGAGACATGAGGCAGGTGCGCGTGGGCCTCCTGGGCTTGTGCTGCTCTTGTTGGGGGATGCGGGGGCCAGCACCCTGCAGGGCCTGAGGGCAGGCGGGGGGCCAGGGCTGCCTCTCTCGGCCTCTAGGAAGGGGTGGGGAGGGCACAGGTGTGAAAGTCTCCCTTGTGTGCTTTCGTTCCTCCTCAGGCACTGAACAACCTGCAGTCCACCTTCTCGGGATTTGGCTTTATTAACAGTGAGAACGTGTTCAAGGTACAGAAGCTGTTTGTGGAGGCAGCGTCCTCTGCCTCGGTCGCTGGAGCAGGAGCAGGGCTGTGCTAAAGAGCGAAGGGGGCGGGCATTCGGCTGCTGTCGGAGGAGAGTGCGGGGCGGGGGCATGCCTCTTCCCTGTTGCCGCCTTCGCTGTCACGCGGAGAGTTAGGAGGGACGTGGGGAGGTCACCCCATGTGTGTGTGGAAGGACAGCGGTGCATCAGGCCCAGTGCTGGTGCTTTCAGATATGAATTTGATCCCCAAAACTTCTCTGCTCAGACATGTTCTTCTCAGCACTTTGTGGGCAAGGAAATGGACTCGGGGGCTGGCCTGGGCCCACTCAGCTGCTGAACAGCAGGCGGGAACACCAGGGAGAGCTGTGTTCCCCTGGCAGCCCTCTGACCCACCCTGGTGCTTCCATGGCATCAGGCCCAGCACACCTCCTCAGAGCCTGGCAAAGAAAAAGGTCTAACTCTCCTGCATTTGACAAAGCATTTTATTTGGGGGTGTCCTTTTCAGGATTGGCTACCACATCCCGACAACTCAGTGTTTTGGAGACTGATTTCCTCCTTATTCGGGGGTAGAACTTGGGTAGGCTGCCCAAACTTTCATTCTGTAGCTCTTTCTTACTAGATTTGTGGGTGAGAGCCCTGGTAAATGCATCAGTCCAGACCTTAGCAATGAACGCATTTTCAAGGACACTTAGGAAAGGAAAACTTACATAGTACTGATAACGTAAAGTCCCATTTCCCATAGAGCAGGCATTGAGGGCTCCAGGCACCACGGCTTTGACCTCAGCCAGAAAGATGAGCCAAGGGCAGGCCTAGGTGTCATCTCAAGATGTCAGAATGCGTTCTCTAGAAGATTCAGAGGCCGACACTGCACCAGAGCGCAGGACCTAAGGCCACTGGGAGGCACTGCAGGGAGGCAGCTGCCCGACACCATCCACCTGCTAGGTAGTGACCTTCCAGTTCTTTTATTGTTTGTTTGAGAGGTTTTTGCTATAGGGCACGTGTGCTTGCCAGAGAGAGAGAGACAGAGAGACAGAAAGAGAGAAATCCCCACCCAGGAGGTATGGCCACACCTCAATCCCTTCTCCATTCTCCTCTTGGGATTTTGGGCACACATGCACACACACCCAGCGTGAGTTTAAGCCACCAGGTCCGGGACTCGAACCGTGGTCGAATACATGGGAGTTCAGTGACGTAGCCATTATGCCAACTGCTGGTCCCTTTTTTATGGACCTCCCAGGTTTTTTTCTTTTTAAATAATCATTTAACTTTATTAATTATTATTTTCCAGTTTCATCAGAGGCAGAGAAAGTGAGAAAGCAAGCCACCGGGTTCAGGACTTGAACCGCAGTCAGCCGTGTGGGAGTCCAGCACCTTTAACCACCATGCCACCTGCTGGACCTCCCAGTTTTTAAATGGGTTCCTGTCTGCACAACTGCCTCTGACCAAAGACTCTTTGTTGGCTCATGATTCTTGTTCATTTGTCTCGTGTTTGAGGAATTTACAATCAAGCTGTTGGAAACTTTTCTATTTAGTGAACTTTTTGGTGGTGAGGGGGCATTTGCAAACTTTTTTTTTTTTTTCTGTAAGTTTATTCACTTATTTCTTCCATGAGCAAGAGAGAAAGATAGCACACTCCACGGGACCTTGACATCATGCCCACACCCAGCGTCAGCCAGCTCCGCATCACAGGCATGCGCGTGCTTCGTGTTCTCGGAGGTCTCCAGGTGTGAACCAGGCCTTCCTGTGCGGGTCAGCCTCGTAGGGCATTGGGCTTTACTGCTGCACCACTGTCTGGCCCCAGATTGTTTCCTGGCTAGAGATTTTGATGAAAACAATGAACTGAGAAGTTGGTCCAGTGGGGCCACCTCAGATGGACCCTCCAAAACCTCAGCTGATGAGCCTTTCTTTTTGGATTCTCAGGTCTGCGACGAACCCCACCCCCTGCTGGTGAAGGAGATGATCCAGCACTGTGTGAGCGCCAACATTGACGAGGCCTACAAGGTTAGCTCCTGCCCCTCCTGATTCAGGAGAACACTTGCAGTTCTTGGCCAGGGCAGAGGGGGTCCTCCTCATGCAAGGACTTCACGTGCCTCGCTTTGCCTCGCTCTGAAATCATGCTAGGAGTTGGGTGCACTTAGCAGATGAGGAAGCCATGATTCAGAGACTGCATTCCTAGCTCTACACCACAGTTTAAAAGTTGTAGATCCCGGGCGGGGGGTGGGGACCAGCAGATGGCATAGCGGTTATGTCTCTGGACTCCCACATGGCCGAAGATGGTTTGAGTCCCAGACTTGGTGGTTTGAAACCTCATCCAGGCACAGGTGTATGTATGTCCATGATCCCAGGAAGAGAATGGAGGAGAAGGGATTGCAGTGTGGCCATCCCCCAGGGGGTGATTTCTCACTTTCTCTGTCTCTCTTCTCTAGTGAGTTTACACACCCTAAAGTGAAAACCTTTAAAAAAAAAAAAAAAAAAGTTGTAGACCCAGAATTTAAAATCGTATCTTTTTTTTGGAGAGGTTTTCACTATAGGGCGCGCGCGCTTGCCAGACAGACAGAGACAGAGACAGAAAGCGAGAAATCACCCCCAGGATGGTCACACCGCAATCCCTTCTCCTCCATTCTCCTCTTGGGATCTTGGGCACGCACGCACACGCGCCCGGCATGAGTTTTAAGCCACCAGGTCCAGGATGTGAACCGCAGTCGACTACGTGGGAGTCCAGCAACATAGCCATTACGCTAACTGCTGGTTCCCCAAAATCGTATCTTAATTATATCCTATGCAAGAGAAAATTGTCGACCTAGAACATGAGGAAAGACCAGCCCAATTCCTTTTCTCGTGAAGCCATCATCCTCTAGCAGGGGGAGACATCATCCTCCATCCTCCTACGGAACATGGCAGCAAACATTCTGGGACCCAGCGGTCCCCAGTCAACTAGGACAGGAGGAACCCCGGGGAAATTCTAGCCTGAGTGATGATAGGACCTGGGCCTGGCTGTAGGTCCCGACAAACACAACTGGGTTTGGGTAACCTCAGGTCACATGGAGCGGTGGTGAGCTTCAGGGTCCCACAGACACCACTGGGGTTTGGATGACCCCAAGTCACATGGAGCAGTGGTGAGCTTCAAGGCCATTGTTCTGATCCTAGATAGCCCTTGCCCTTGCCCTTGCCCTTGCCCCTGCCCTTGCCCCTCAACAAACTAGGTTGGAAGTTGAACAGATTTAGGACAGGGTTCAACCTAATGGGAAATTGGAGTGCGAGACAGGGAAGCTGAGGCAGAGGCCCAGGCCTTAGGGCTGGGTCACTGAGGGAGCGAGGGCAGAGAGGACTGCCGTCAAACCTAACAGTCTGGACTGGGTGGGTGCGTGGTGAGAAGGCAGCAGGCTGAGAGGGCTGCCGTCATCGCTTCCCCCTGGGGGTCACTCAGTGCAGGTCCTGCTGGGGCTGCGTCATGACGCCAGTGACTAGGAGAGCTAGTGACGATTCTGCTTCCTCCGCTCTGGTACGTAATGGGCAGATCGATAAAGCGAATTCAGAGCTGGAGTAATGACATTGTGTGGGCATGGTAGTGGACCATCTTGCAGGTTGGGGCCAGCAGGTGACATAGTGGTTAAGGTCCTGAACTCCCACGTGTTGACCATAATTCGAGTTCTGGACCTGCTAGCTTGGAACTCAGGCCAGGCTTGTACGTGTGTGTCCAAAATCCTGAGAGAGAATGGAGGAGAAGGGATTGCAGCATGGCCATGCCCCCCTTGGGGGTATTTCTTACTTTCTTTCTCTCTTGTCTCTTTAATGAGTGCATGTGCCTTATAGCAAAATCTCTCAAAAAAAAAAAAAAAACTTGCAGCGAGATCTCTGCCTGCTGAGAAAGTCACTTAAAGTACTCACAAGATCTTGGAGAATGTGACAAATTGAGGTTGCTAAGTGACCCACCAGCAGCTCCGTGCATGCAGGTGATCTCAAAACCTCCTGGGTTGTCTGGGGCGAGCTGTCTGCTCCCGTGGGTGTGATCGACTGATACTAGTGTGGACTTGACTTCATTTCCCCGTCTCCTTGTAGTTTGAAGTGTTTAAATGGCCTCATTGTGTCTTCTTTTGTCTAGATCCTTGCTCACCTGTGGCATCTGGGCTATTCACCAGAAGATATCATTGGCAACATTTTCCGAATGTGTAAAACTTTCCAGATGGCAGAGTACTTGAAACTGGAGTTTATTAAGGTCAGTGAGAGCATGTGAATAAATGCTTGTGTCTTCAGAGCGTGGGCCACCACGTGGCTTTCTTTGTGTTGCTCATGGCCTGTCCCCTGGAAGGTGCTCAGTGTATGCGATGGCCTGAGGGTGGCTGCCTATTCTGAGGGCTGAATTTGTCTCGCTCACTCAGTGACCAGTGTCCCTTGGGATGACTCTTAGTAGAGATCTTATTTCTGTACTCATCTTTTTTTAATTTTATTTTATTCATTCTTTCTTTCTTTTTTCTTTTTTTTTTTCTTTTTTTGACCAGAGGGAGAGAGAGAAAGTGAGAAAGCAAGCCATTATGTCCAGGACTTGGACGGCGGTCAGCCATGTGGGAGTGTCCAGCACCTTAACCACCACACCACCTGCTGGTCCCTCTGTATTCATCTTAAGGTCAGATCAGTTGAGGAATAATTTACATAGAGTAAAATGCAGCCTTTCAGGTACATTCTGCTGACAGAAGCATTCAGTCATGTAAATGCCACCATAATCGAGATAACATAGTCTTACCCCTGTAGAATTCACGTGCCCTTGGCGGTTAGCTTCTCTCCCTCCCCTCCAGGAACCACTGATACATTGTGTTTGAGGAACAGAATTTTCCAGATTATCATAAATGAAATCATTTAGAACTTAGCCGTGTTTGTGTGTGTGTGTGTGTGTGTGTGTGTGTACGCGTGCATGTACGCTCGCAGGCAAACACCAGAGAGGCATGTGTGCTCACCAGAGAGAGACAAAGTGGGAATGGCAAAAAGTACCCCTCAGTGGAGTGGATCACACGGTGATCCTGTCTCCATTTCTCTCTCCTTTGAGAATTTTTTTGGGCTTGCATGTGCACATACCCAGTGGGGTGTTTTTTTTGTTTTGTTTTGTTTTTAGTGGTTTTTGCTATAGGGCGCATGCGCTCACCAGACAGAGACAGAAAGTGGGAAATCACCCCCCGGGAGGATGGCCACGCTGCAATCCCTTCTCCTCCATTCTCCTCTTGGGATCTTGGGCACATACGCACATGCGCCCAGCATGAGTTTTAAGCCACCAGGTCCGGGACGCGGACCGCGGTTGACTACATGGGAGTCCAGCGACATAGCCATTACACTAATGGCTGGTCCCCCCAGTGTGTTTTTCAAGTTGGCATAGCCAGGACTTGGAACTGTGTGGTTGCCATGTGGGATCTGCTTCCTTAACCACTGGACCACAGGTTGACCTAGCTTTTTTTTCTTTTCTTTTTTTGTTTTTTTTAAGCTTATTTATTTATGTCACAAGACAGGTTCTCACACCATGATTCATCTCCAGTGTCAGCCTGATAATGGGCCTACCTGGCATGCTCAGGTAACTCCTGGGATGTGAACTCAGGACCTTTCTCATGTGGGTCCATAGCATTACCATTGTGCCACCAGGTGACCGGGACTTAGCCGTTTGAATGTGACTTCTCTTACTTACCTTGACACCTTTCAGATTTGTGTGTGCTCTTCGGTTTATCAGTGGGTTCGTAGTTTTCCATTGTATGGATGTACCATGGTTAGTCTTCTGCCGATTGAGGGACGTTTGAGTGTCCAGTTCTTGGTGACTATGAGTAAAGCTGCTATGAACAGATACATACATGAACTAATGTGAATACAGGCAGGACGTTTTTATTTTTCTCAGGTAAATTCCCAGGAATATAACTTTGTAAGGAACTGCCGAACTGTTTTCCAAAGTGGTGGTAGTATTTTGCAGTATTCTTTCCAGCAGTGTGGACATTCCAAGGTGATCCACTTGCTAACCCACACGTGGAATGCTCAGTTGAGTTTTGTAAGATATTCAATAGGTGCATAATGGTATCTCTTTGTGGCTTTACCATACATTTCCTTAACAACTAATGTTGTCAAGTACTTTTTCTTTCTTTCTTTCTTTCTTTCTTTCTTTCTTTCTTTTTTTTTTTTTTTTTTTGCCATCCATAGTCATTTATGACACCTCTGTTCAAACCTACCATTTTTTAATTAGGTTCTTTGTTTTCTTGTTGGGTTTTGTTGTTCAAATGCCAGAGGGCACATGAGAGAGAGAGAGCACACGCATGTGTGCACATAAACATTCCACAACATGGCCTGGTCCTGCTGCAGTCCTTTTTCTTATAGTTCTTCATCCCATCCAGATCCTGGGCACAGGTGCACACCCAGCATGTAAACTGCCAAGGGCAGGACTTGAACCCTGTGCAGCCATGTGAGATCCTTCTTCCTTCTGCACCACACTTAACCACTGTGCCATGGAGCCAGCCCTTATTATTCCTCTTGCCCAGAATTTGAAATGAATCTCTCACAAACCAGATAGCTTACAACACAATGGTTAGCCTGGAAGCAGAAGGGAAGGAACCTTTAAAGAGAGAACATGACTAAATATGTGGGCAAATCCACAAAGCATAGGTAGCCGTTTCGTATCAACACTTAGAGGAATAGTGTTTGAGACCAGGCGTCCCTGTCTTACTATAAACTGAGTTAGACAGAGATTGTGGGAGACAATTGCTTTCGGCAGGGGAGAGCCCAGCCCTTATTATTGAGTTTTGAGAGTTCTTTGTATGTTCTGGATAAAAAGTCCCTTATCAGATATTCAGACATATTTTAAAAGAATTTTCTTCTTGGCTAATTTTTTTTCTATCTTCATTTTCTGAACAGTATCTTTTAAAGAAGTATCAGTGTTTTAGGAAATATGTTGAATGTAGTTAACATTACATCCTGGCGTTCATTTCCAGCTGGAGTTTGAGTTGGTTGTATTATTTTTGAACAAACCATTATTAGCTCAGATTTCAAAAAATATGTAACTCTCTCAGTTACTAACCAGACTTAAATTTGATCTATTTTCAGGAAATTGGATACACTCACATGAAAGTAGCAGAAGGCGTGAACTCCCTCCTGCAGATGGCAGGCCTCCTGGCCAGGCTGTGTCAGAAGACGATGGCCCCCGTGGCTAGCTAGCGTGGGGCCTGCAGTGATGCGGTGGTGGAGCCCTCGCCCTGGAGCACAGGAGTCAGAGCCTCCTGATGAGGAGAACCTGCGCCTTGTCTGGTGCAGACTGCTCCAGCTCCCGTGGCTTTCAGAGCACATCTGTGCTGCGGGAGGGTCTGCGTTCAAACCCCTTATGTGGTGACAGCGACAGGGTGGGGAGACCTGGAGAAACCGGGCTGTGGCACCTGATCTGTGTGTGTTGGCATCTTAGGTAATAAAACCTCACATTTGGCAATGAAGTGACAACTTGAGGCCTCAGGGAAACCCAGCTTAACTGTCACTGCTTGCCCCTGGTATCCCATAAATACAAAAAGTGATTTTGTTAGTAGACAAGACAAACTCCATTTTTCTACAAACTTGAAGGGGTGGGGTGAAAGCAAGGTTGGCAGTAATTTCCTGACTATTTGGATGGACTTTCAGAACAGGCCTAGGCCATGAGCCCCTCAGATAGGGCAGGTCAGGCCGTGGGGCAGTAGTGGACTGGCCTAACACAGCCTTTGGGAAAGCTCCAGCCATGCCGCCTTTCCTGGTAGCTGCAGTACTCATTGCTTTAGAATTCTTCAGCAAATTTTGTATTAATTTGTACAATAGTACTCTAATTTTGTAAGGTACTGTCCTCTCTTTTTTTCCCTTTTTGTTAACAAAATATTTTATTAAACTTTATTTTTTAAATTTATTTTAATGTGACCAGAGAGAGAGAAAGACAGAGAGAGAGAGAGACGGAAAATGAGAAAGCAAGCCACCGGGTCCGGGACTTGAAACATGGTCAGCCATGTGGGAATTCAGTGCCCTTAACTACCACACCACCTGCTGGCCCCAATTCCCCCATCTTTTTAAGTATGAAAACTTTCCACTGTATATGAAGATAGAGGCTATGACAGTGACCCCATGTTTATCACTCACCTAAGCAGTGAGATCAGCCTGTGGCCAAGCTCATTTCCTGGCTCCCACCACCACCCTGGTTATGTTGAAACAAAGTACAGGCATTGTTTTAGTATGATGATTTTTTTTTTAAAGAAATATTTTATTTAACTTTATTTATTTGACCAGAGAAAGAGAGAAAGAGCTCTGGGACTCGAACCACATTCGGCCTGCCATGTGGGAATCCAGCGCCCCTAACCACCACACCAGCTGCTGGCCCCTAGTATGATGATTTTTTTTTTTTTTTTTTTTTAGGGGTTTTTTTTGTTAAAGGGGATGGTTTTTTTTTTTTTTGAGAGTTTTTTTTGCTATAGGGCGCGGGCGCTCGCCAGACAGACAGAGACGGACAGAGAGACAGAAGACGAGAAATCACCCCCCAGGGGCGATGGCCATGCTGCAATCCCTCCTCCTCCATTCTCTCGGGATCTTGGGCACGCACGCAAGCACGCGCGCCCGGCGTGAGTTTTAAGCCACTGGGTCCGGGACACGAACCGCGGTCGACTACGTGGGAGTCCAGCGACATAGCCATTACGCTAACTGCTGGTCCCACTAGTATGATGATTTTAAGGGGCTGGAGGCATAACTTCTGTGGTTGGTGGTCTCTTGTGGAAAGCTTGGATTCGAGCATGCCTAGGTGTCCTGCTGGCTCCTGGATGAAGGGCCACCAAGGTATGGCCATGTGCGTTCATGCTGCAGAGTGCTGGGATACCGGAAATGAACTCCCAGGTGCCTCTTTGGTGTCCCACCTGCACTTGAAGAATGGGTGGCAGTACCATGACTCTTAGGCAGCTGTATTCACTTGCCCAAAACACACTGCCACGCGGAGACACTGAACACACACAGGAAAGGCTCCAGGGTGACTAGCTCTTTAAGGTTTCAGTTAAGGGGAAATTTTTTACATAATGAAAGCTCCTTGAAACTGCAAGATGTAGTTTTGCAAATGGGCATGCCATCTGACTTTTGACTGCTGCCCCATGATCCCCATGAGGAAAAGGGGTCATTGTCCATCCCTGTTTTGCAGGGGAGGACACTAGGCCCAGAGGCATCTGGGTTCCCATAGCTGCTGACTGTGGAGGTGAGACCCCACCCCAATGTTCTCTTGCTTCTGAGGTTGTGAGACCAAGACTCGAGGGTATGAAGTGCCAGTGGCCAACAGTTGGGTTCTGGATATTTCTTCTCATTTCCTTTTCTCATGGCAAGAATCCTCCTAAAAGGCTGGGCTCAGACTGGGTTCCTGTCTGTAGCCATCGCCCTCTCCGGCCTCAAGGTCCTTCTCTAGGACATGAAACTTGACCTTCATTCCCTAAAGAGGTTGGTTATCCGAAGCAGGGAAAGCAGACACGGGCGACTTTCAGACTAGCGGTTTATTAGACGCTTAGTCAGAGGAGTGTTTTGGTTCCTTGACTCATCTCTGACCCCGAAGGCCCCCCGGACCTTAACCCATCCCACAAGGCAGTCACACTCCTGCCTGTACAGGGCAGTGGAGGGGCCCTGCTCCTGGTTGGGCCCTTGGCCACTGCGCTAACCACCATTTCTCAGAACTGATGTGCTTTTGAACACAGCAGAAATCACTTATGAGTGACCTGAGGCCCAAGGAGAAATCAGGGCTCCCTCTCACTGCGTGCCAAAGTGAAATACACGTAATGCTTTGTGAGACGAGCTAGATAACACCTCTACCCTGAAAGTCCGAATATTAAATATGGCTTCCCTATATAAATTAACTGTACAAGCTCTTAGATTGTAAAAGTCGAACCCTAGTAACCAACACGAGTGAGCAGTTTACGATCCAAATCCAAAGCAAAGGGCGTGACTGCGGCGATGCGCAGTGCACCGGGACAGCCTGCTTGATGCCCTGGGCATCCCATCACGGTGGAAGCAGAGGTGTCAGCACCAGGTGCCTGCCCTGCTCCGCCCAAGGAAGCCTGGGTCAGGGGAGGGTACGGCAGGCAGGGCCACAGCTCTGGCCCGTCCACATGTCACTGTCCTTTCCCAGGCGGTGTCCGTGGCCAGGTGTCTGCAGGATGTGTTGGTGCCCTTCAGGAGTGGCAGTGGCAGGGGCCTAGATGTCAGGTGGCTCGGGAAGATCTTCCGTGAGCACAGTGGTTGTCTAGGCTCCACCCTGGCTCCTTGAGTGAAAGGGGAAAAGCTCATTAACAGGAAGAGGTTTGCCTTAACTAGTATGGTTCCCTCAGACCCCCACGACTGGTCGTGGTCAGCACTTGTCCACTCTGTGCCTCCTGGCTGAGCATAGCGCCTGCTGCCTGTCCAGCAGCCTCAGCTGTTTGCAGTCCAGGCCCTTCCGCTTTGGGTTTGAAATCCTGCACCTGCCCTTGATTCTGGCCAAGGCTTGGGTAAGGCGGCCTGCCTGAGGCAGGGCTTCCGGAAACGTTCTGTAAGCAGTGCTGACCTCAGTGATCCTCGCCCGGACACAGAATCTACCCAGTGTCATCAGGCCCCTCAGCCCTGTCCTCTGCCCTATCTTCCGAGCCCTGTGCCCACAATGCCACTCCAGGCTCGGTGCGCTGGATGCTAGCCCAGTGGCCACCCCTCCCTGTACACTTGCGGGCTCCATGGCCCCGGCCTGGCCGTGCACTCGCTCCCGCTGGGGCACGCGGTCCGCGTGCGTTGTGCTGCTATTTGTGTGGTTGGGAAGACCTCACAGCCCTTCCAGCGCCTGCCCCGTTTCTCTGCTTTCCACTAAAGTGAGACTTCTGACGAATGACCTCGCTGTCTTTGCTAACAGGCTTTCTCTCCACCCTGTCATCCCAACTGCTCGTCAGTGTCCACCTGCGCTCAGCTCTGTGGTCTCTGCCTGGCTGCTGCACTGGCCACACCCTCCCTGGGCCCTGGCATTGGCTCCCAGGACCTGGCCTTGGCTGGGAAGGGCTGAGCGCAGTGCAGGATCCTCTTCTCCACTCCCGGGTTGGTGACTGTCAGCCGGTCGTCCGGCTCTCAGCACACAGTGACGGTCCCCGGGGCTGCACCTAACCTGAGCCTCTTCCGAGTTCAGGCTCAGAAATTCGACGCTTCGTATTCTCACCTGGATGGGCAGCCTTCCCACGGCACCTTCTCTGCCTGTACCCCCAGATCCCAGCTTCTGCCAATGACGCCCTCTCTTGGCTCTGGCAAAACCTGGCAATCCCCCTCAATGCCTCCGTCTCCTCCCTCCCACCCCCCAGGGCCTCCATAAATCCGAGACATGTCAGCCTCGGCCTCCTCCCATCTCTGCGGCTACCGCCCAGGGCCCAGAGGTGTCTTGTGCGGGATTCTCGCAGGTCTCCCTGCTGCCGCCACAGCCCCTGTACCCATGTCTCTACTGGTGCCCAGCGGACTTCAGAACAACAGGCTGCCCCTCGCACCTCCCAAGGCCCCGCCCTCTCAGCACCCTCTCCTCGTGGCACCCTCCAGAGGCCCCGCCTCCTCTTCTAGAGTAAATCCCCAAGTGCTGCCCCGCCTGGGCCTCAGGGGCCCTCCCTAGGCTCTCCTGGCTGCGTCACACTCTCCCTCTTGAGACCCTGCTGTTCCCTCTGCCTGAATGTTCTGCCTGGGGGGTCGAGGGCTGAGGGAGGGAGCCCCGAAAGGCTTCCCTGGCCCCCCATTTTAAACTGCAACACCCCTCCCACCCCAGCCCACGTCACCCCGCCCTTTGCCTGCCCGGTTTATCGCCTCTTATCACGCTCACACACATGGCTCACACACATGCCGCAGGGGCTTATCTGCTCTCTTATCTGACTGGCCCTTATCTGTTTATGTCTGCCCAGGTGGGAGTTCCGTGGGGTCAGGGGCTTGTGCGCCTAAGCGGGGGCTTGCCCACAGTAGGCACCAGTGGGTGCTGGTTGACTGCAGGGACAGGCCCAGGGCTACCAGGTGGCCACCCTCCCACCTGCCTCCTGAAGTGACTGTCAGGTCTCCCAGGATGGGACTTTGGACAGTCATCAAAGGTCCGCTGGGATACGTCCTGCTTCCCAAGCAGTGGCCGTGGGCAGGGCTGTGGTGTAACTGCGGGGCTCTGAGCCCTGCCAGGGTTACTCTAGGGGGACATGGACAGGCAGCTTCGCTGCCCTGTGCCTCGAAGGTGCCAAGCTGGTGTGAAGAGGGGTCACTTAGCCCCACACTGGCCTTGGGGTGGCTCCTCAGTGCATCTCAGCACCGTCCCCTGCAACCCGCCCATCTCCGTGTCTGTCTCCAGATGACAGGGTTCCTGCTTTTTTTGCTGAGCAGGCACCTCGTCTCAGAGGGTGGCACCTCCACTCCATTTTGCAAGAGAGAACTTAGGTTCTGGGGGGGGAATGACTTGTCCAAGGTCGCATCATCGTGAGGAGTGGGTAGTGGAGCTGGGAGACAGCCAGAGCCAACCCCTGCACTGCACAGCCTGCCAGACTTCTCTGTCACCCTCAGCAGCCTCAGACTCTGTGCCTGAGGTTCATCTGTCACTTCACCAAGCCTGATGTGTTCCCCAGTCCCCAGGGGGGTGGGGCCAAAGCCAGTCAGGGACTGCTGGGGAGGGTCTCCTTTCTGAGCTGCCCCCATCAGCACCCACGGCCCTCCCCGTAGCTCCTCCAACCAAGCTCTCCGCTATTCCCATGAAGTGGGTACCCTGGAGTCTGGCAAGGCCTGCCACACTTGGCCTGAAGCAGCCGGAAGGAGGGGGCCATACCTTCCTTCCGGTCTTGCCTAGGCTTCCTGGCCTTCCACATCCTTGTTCACATAGTCTGGTTCCCCGCTGTCCTCCTCTGGACTTCCTGTGGGGGACGGAGGTGCTTCTCTCTGGATTTGCTCTGCAGACCAGTGGGCACATGTGATCAGATGGTTCAGACAGCCACATCCCCCTGTGACCCAGCCAGGGTGCCAGACCCCAGACCCCAGACTCCAGAAGCCAGCCCACGGGAACTGCCACTACACGGGACTCAGGCGTGAGTCTGCCCGAGTCCGTCTCGCTCTGAGAGCAGGTCAGATGCCTTGGTCCAGCCACCAGGGACCCCGACACAAGAGGCCTCTGCAGCCACTGAGGCACTAGAGGCTTAGCCGTGGAACCGGCCAGACTGACTGGAGAGGCCATGCTCCTCCAGCCTGGGCTCTTCGGCCACATACCCACAAGCCTCTTGGAAGCCTGCCACTGACGGATAGATGCTGAGTTCTGATAATCCTCAGATTCCTCGTCACCTGCAGGAAAGCACAGGGCCGGGGCTGGAGGGGGCCGGTCCTCAGGGACTTCCTGCAGCCTTATGCTGGGCACTCTCATCTCATCCTCACTGAGCTGCAGGAGCTGATGGGGCCCCTCCCAGGACACTGGGTGATGCTTCCCTGGAGGCACTGCAGATGGCAGGGAACCTCAGGCTTCAAGGTGGGCAAAGCCTGTGATGGCCAGGGAGTGCAGGGCCTGGCCAGGAGGCCCACCTCTGCCCTACCCCAGCTTCCCCAGGGCCCAGCAGCCTCACCTGACTCAGTGGGCCTCTGCGTGCAGATGAGCACGTTCTCGTAGGAGTTGGTATCGTCGTCATCTGCCGGAGAGGGGAGAGGGCACAGGGACATGGGTGGGCCTTGCTGCAAGGCCTGACCCTCCCCATTCCCTTCATCCTGCCCTCCCTTTGCAGATAAACTGTCCCCAGGCCCTGTCTCCTGGGTCCCCTAGTGCCTTTTTTTAAAAAAGATTTTTTTCCCATAGGATGTGTGTGTTTGCAGAGAGACCAAGAAAGGAGAGAGAGAGAGAGGAAGAAAGTGAGAACTTCCCCTCAGGGGATGGCCACACTGCAGTCCCTACTCCTCCAGTCTCCTTTCAAGGTTTTGGGCACACACGTGCATGCACCTCGCATGCTTTTCAACCACCAGGTCCAAGACTCAAACCGAGGAGTGGGCTATGTGGGATCCAGCACCTTTACCACCAAGCCACCTGCTGACCCTGGACAAGCTTCTTAATGGCTCCAGCAGCTCCACTCCCAGAATGCACTGGGAGAAGTGCCAGCGGACAGAGCTGTGGTGCCAGTCCTGATGGGTGGCTGGGGAAGGGAGGTCTCAGAGGTTCATCCCTGACAGACAGAGGTCTGTGGCTGCTGCTGCTGCTGGAGGGTTCTAGACCTCTTCCAGATAGGTCAGGGTGGGCTGAGGAGTGCTTCGCTCAGGCCCTAGGCTGGTGTAGCCCCTTAGGGCCTGGCACTCTGTCAACACCTTGCAATGGGGAGGCTGAGCCTCTAACCACTGCTCCACCCAACATCCATTTCTGAAGAAGGGGCTCCAAGAAATGACCCCTATAGGACCAGCAGATGGAGTGATGGTTATGTCACTGGGCTCCCAGGCAGTTGACCATGGTTTGAGTCCTAGACCTGATGGCTTGAATCTCATACTGGGCACATGTGCATGCATGCCCAAGATCCCGAGAGGAGAATGGAGGAGAAGGGATTGCAGCGTGGCCATCCTCCCTGGGGGGGTGATTTCTTGCTTTCTATCTCTCTGTCTTGCGAGTGCATGCGCCCTATAGCAAAAAAAAAAAAAAAGAAAAAAAAAGAAATAAGGGCTCCTGCACACCGGCCGGGCCAGGCCGGAGCCAGGTGGAGCAGCTGAATTCCAGCCTCGGACCTGTGTGCCCCTCATGGTAGTCACTTCCCTCCTCAGTCCTCAGTTTCTCTTGCAAAGCCAACATGTGAAGGGCCTAGGCTCCGGCATCCTCAGAGGCTGCGGGGCTTAGTGTCACCAGCAAGGCTGTCCCCATCTGGGACTTCCCAAGCTCCCTCCTGTGCTCACCAAAAGCTGCCTGGACGACAAGGACCTGGCTTCCACCCCAGTCAACCTTCTGGTTCCCTCTGTCCTGCAGCCACTCTGCTCTCTCCCCACCCTCTTCACCCATACATCAAACACTGACCGGTTTCTGTCCTGCCCCCACCTGGGTCCCTCCACAGTGTCAGCCTCCCCCCATCAGCCTCCCAAATCTGACAGTCCATTCGGACCCAGGCCCAGCCTCCTCCACTGCGTCCTCCTCAACCACCTCCCACCCCACCCACCTTGTCCTCTGCCTCACCTTTTGGGGGCTTCGGGAACTGCCCCCAGTTGTAATAGTCCGTGGCAATCGGGTATCTGGCCAAGAAAGCAGACCTAGCACAGGCCCATGAGCAGGATGGGGCCCTCAGGGGACAGTGAGGCTGAGGCTGAGCCAGCCATCCCCCCTCAGGGCTGTGGGGCTCTGCCAGGGTCTCCCCTGAGATCCCCATATCCCTACATCCCTGACCCTGAGCCACCCTAGGGCTGGGGGGAGCAGCCTGGCTCTACCACCTTGCCATGTGACCCTAGGCAGGGCCTCGCCTGCCCTGGCCCTTCCTGGGCATCCCTGGAACTTGTCTGGGTGATGCAGGGTGAGTCTCCTCCTGGGAGGCCCCTCCCTAGAGCAGGGCCATGTCCCCTCCCTACAAGACTGTCATCACCAGGGAGAGAATGAAGCTACCGAGAGCCTGCCTGGGGCGCGGAGGCTCACTTCTGGGGAGAGGGTGGTTGATGGATAAGGAAGCTGGGGGGCGAGGCTGGGGCTGGGAGAAGTCCACTCACATATAGGCTGCATCTGATCCCTGCTGACTTCCTGCGGGAAGAGGCGGGAATCAGCCCTGGGCTGCTGCCGTGGGCCCCACCGTGGCCGACACCCTGGAGCCACCTACCTTTGCCGAGGTTCTGGTATCTGGGAGAAGCAGACTCTGGAAAAAAGGCCAGGCTTATGGTCCCAGTCCTTGCCCCGGCCTCTGCTGGCCTACAGGCAGCCCCTGAGTGGCACCTGTCCCCTCACCCCATCTTAGCCCCTCCCTGGCCAGGCTGGCCCAGCCCCGGTGCCACTTACCATCGAGGCTGGGGGAGAAGTGCAGCAGCTTGTCCTTCCTGCGAGGATGGGGGGCAGAGGGAGGGGCTGTAGGGAGAGGCCCCAGCACTGCTGGGGTGTGGGGCTGGGGCCGGGGCTGGGGAAGGGCTGAGGGCTTGGCTTGGGCTCAGCCAGGCTGGGACCCCTTGGGTGTGATGGCCCTTACCCCTGGGCCCAAGTCAGGGGGCTCTTCCCTACCTTGTTGCCTTTTCATCAAGGGATGCCTCTATCAGGGGCCCTGGCCATGGCTGTCTGACCACTGCAAAGGGCAAGGGGATGTTGGCTGGGCCCCAGGCCAGCCCAGCCCAGTCCACAGCCCCCTCACCCCATCACTGCACCAGACAGGCCTGAGCCATGGCTTCAGGGTGATGGGGACAGAGGGGACCTTGACACGGAACCGCCCCCCCCGCAAGCCCCGCCAGCCCAAGCCCAGTCCTGGAGACTTTGGGAACTCACAGGAATAGGTCCGGGCCACCGCAAAGCTGTGCTGATTCTCTTGCCTGGAAACACACGGGGCTGTGCTGAGCTGGGTCTGGCCTCCCAAGCCCAGGGGACAGAGGGATGGGAGAGATAGACAGCTAGGGATGAGGAACGGAGAGAGGAGGGACACAGCAGCTGCCACCCCTCCAGGCCTCAGACTTGCAGCCCTAGATGGTTCTTCAGGCCCCACCCACAGGGTGCCCACCCTTCACCCAGAGCTGTGGGCTGGAGCCCATCCACCAATATGGCCTCCACAGGGCTGTGTCCTGCTGGGGCTCTCGGGCTGCAGAGACGGCCAGGAGGGGCCTGTGGGCAGGGCTGAGGAGGGATCCCTGAGATTCTGGGGACGACGGTGAAGGCAGCTGCTCAGGGACCCAGCAGCAACCTGGGAAAACGATTTCAGTCATGACCAAAGGAGGCTGCCCCCACCTGCCGCCCCCAGGGAGCATCTGCCATTCCTAAGAGGGTACACCAATCTGGGGCCCTTCAAACACTGCATGTGCTCCCAGATAACTGGGCAGTCAACTTTAAGACCTAGCAGATGCTGCTAGGGGCCTGGCACTGCTCAGAGCCCTCTGCTTTCTTTGAAACAGGACCTTAGTTTTTATATAGATGGTCATGTCGCCCCCACCCCCGTGCCCCGGCTCCATCTAAAGGATTATTTCCCAGTCTTCCTGTGCTACTATGTGGCATGTGATTAAGCCCTGGCACATGAGGTTATTGATATTTCTAAGAAATCTCCTTAAAGGAGCACTACCTATAGGGGCACACACTATCTGCCCTTATCCCTTCTTTCTACTGCCTGGAGTGCAGAGATGAGGGCTGGAGCTCCAGCTGCCCTCTGGGCCATGAAACTCTCTTGAGAATGGATGTCACCATTATAGATGGTGGGACAGCTTAGCTAATCATTAAAACAGGTTCTGGGATTCCTTTTCTGAACCAAAAAGGGTCCTTGGTCCAGTCTTCCAGGAGGAGCTCTGGAGGGACACTGGGTCAGGGTAACCTGATTTAGCAAGAGGTGGGTCTGGCGTATACAGCAACCACTTCATGTCATCAGAGGAATTGAACCCAAAAGAGGCGAGAGATGGAGAGGCAGAAAGAAGCATTCCAGGGAGCCCAAGGCTCTCCCTAACCTTTCCCACCTGCCTGGTCCCCTTTTCCCACCTCTCATGGCCCTGACAGTCTAGGACTCTAAGAACAATGGAGGTTCTGGGGTGGGTTGGGGTAATGGAGTGGGAGAGGGGAGGTGCTCGTAGAGCAGGGGTGCAGGCGGCACCCAGAGAGGTTGCAGACAGCTGGGACAGAAGGCCAAGCGGCCAGGAAGGTCCAGCCCCGGCCCAGGGTGGGCAGGGCTGGCAAGGTTCTATTTTCAAATCTCACTGTGGTTTTTCAGTTGCAAAAGGAAATGAGGAAGGGGGTATGTGTGTTTGTGCGTGAGTGCCGGCCGGGCGTGCAGGCGGGTGCTGTGCTGCACTTGAGACGGTGTGCATGGGGAAGTGTGTGGGGAGCGTGCGCCCTCGACTAGTCACTCTCAATCAGAGGACGCCGGTGGCTGCTGTTCTTGTCCCAGGATTTCCTCTTGGTTTCCGCCCTACCTCTCATCTGCAGGGGCCCGTGCTCTGGCCCTCCCAGGGCCTCTCTCTGTCCTCGCCTCCTGCACCGGCCTCCCTGATCCCCCAGGGACCTTGCCCACATGCCCTCCTGAGCTTTGTATTTTCCAGGGCAGTTTTGGACACTGCTCTGTTTGCTTTGGGCCTGGGTCGCCCCGCTGCACTGTGAGGGAAGATTCCTCTGTGTGCACCCCTGGGCTGGGGTCAGGAGGGAGCTGAAGACTTGGTGCCTGGGCCTCTGGACGTGCTTGCTCAGGGACAAGCGGGAGACTGGCTGGTCCAACAGCCCAGGGTTCCCCCCTTCTCAAAGCCCTCCCTAGCTCAGGCTGGGGTAGGGCCCGCACAACCCTGGGTTTGTTCTCTCTCTTCCCTGACTGCTGGGGCCCCAAAGAGCCTGGCATTAAGGAGGCAGGGTGAGGGAGTGAGGGCCTGGGTGTCCACACCCCGGGGACATGAATACTCCAGGCTGGGGACATAGAAGCAACTCACAGACTTCTCCGCTCATAGATTTTTTCAGGCCTCTTGGCACCTGCAAGAACGGGGCTGGATGAGCAGGTGTCCCCGAGTCAGCTGGGGGCTGAGGGCCTCCTCTTCTCGTCCCCTGTGCCCTCTGCAGGCCCAGTCGGGACTGGGGCCAAGTGACCAGCCACCATGGGCCACCTGTCACTGAAAGGGCATTTGACCACTGTTTTTAGAAGAGTTTTTGTTTTTGTTTTTCAGTTTGCTATAGGGTGCATGTGCTCACCAGATAGAGGGAACGTGAGAAATCAGCCCCCAGGGACAATGATCACACAGCAACCCCTTCTCTCGGGATTTTGGGCCCACACATACACGTGCCCGGTGTGTGTCAAGCCACCAGGTCTGGGACTCGAACTGCACGGTCAGCCCTGTGGGATACAGCATCTTAGCTTTCACACCGCCAGCTGGCCCGGAGAGGAAAGCTTGGGAAGGTGGGTGCCAGGGCAGCCTGGCCTCCCCTGGTCTGGAGCCCTTCCCTGCCCAGACATTGCCCTTGACCCTCCAGAACCCAAGTCCCCGAGAACCAGCCTCACTGTCTTCAGGGGGCATCAAGGCCGCTCTGGGTCGGCCTCCGGAGGCTTATCCGACTACAGCCGGTCTCGACCTGAGGCAGTATCTAGGATACACCTTCCCTGTGTCCTCCCTCACCCCGAACCCTCACCTGGGCGGGAGCAGCGCACACACAGGCCGGCCGCGGCGCCCAGCAGCAGCAGCAGCAGCGCCGTCCCAGGCCACAGCAGCCCCGTGTCTGTGCTCATGTCTGCTGCAGCGTGGGGCTCCATTCTGCAGGGTGGAACGGGGCTCCTGTGAGGGAGTGTGGGGACCCCAGCCCAGCCCCACCGTCCACCTAAAGCCCTGCACCGCCTGCCTCCCCCCCTGCTCCTGGGAGTGGCCAGACAGAGCCAGCGCTGTCCGCCCACGTGACCCCAAACAGCACCCCTGGCCCTCTGGGCCATCATCGCACTTCTGAGAGGTTCTGGGGGCCCCTGGACAGCACCACTGTGCATGCGCAGCCACTTAATCCGTAGAACCCCCTTGAAGGAGAAGTTGACCCCAATTCACAGAGGAGGGCCCCCAGCTGCAAAGTCAGGCTCAACCTCTGGCCTGCCCAGCGGCTCTGGCTCTGCCCGCACATCCCCTGCCTCCTGTAGGGGCCGGAGTCTGCAGAGAGCACCTGAGGGCTCTTCTCCGCCTCCTGGGGAACCTGAGAATGCTGTCTCCATTCCTGATTCTGCCTGACCTGGGAGGACATGGGGCTTCTTGGAGGAGGTGGCCTGGGAGCATGGGTGATGTGGCTGACCTCGGGGCCACACGATGCTGGCTGGACCTCAGGGAGGCCTTACACTCACCACACGCATGGCCATGGGCGGGGAGGGGGAGCTCCCCAGTGGCCTGGCAAGGAGACCTGTTGCAACTATGCAGACTCGGCCCCCTCGTGAAGGCTGGGGACATAGCCGATGACCCCAGGGTCTCCGAGGGGCGGCGCTCTGTGCTCTGAGTACACCTGTTCTTCCGGCCTGACCACCCGTAAGGAGGGCTTCTCCCCACTCTACAGCTGGAGAAGGTGAGGTATGAGTGGGTGTGGACGTAAGAGGAGGCGCTCCAAACTGCCCGCCCCCAACTTGAGGCCCACCGAGTTCTGCACTGGACCCACGCCGTGTCCTCCCCCACGAGCTGTGTGCCTCGGACCAGCCTCGGAACCTCTCTGAACTTCTTGAATCCTAGCGGCAAGGATGACGGGGAATACCCACGAGGCTCTGAGCACTGTGGGGCCGTCATGGAGAAGCCACCTTAGCCCTTCCCAGCGCTGACCGAGTCAGTGGAACAAGTGAGTTCCCAGACCGTGTGACCGTTGTGACCTGTGTCACCCACCCGGCTGGGCACGTCCTCCTCCCTCCCTGCAGGCCTGTCCCTGCTCCTCCTCCAAGGCCTGGGGCTGCCTCAGGCTGTGAAGGTGGGAGCGCTTGGCCTGGGAGGGAGAGCTCCCGGGATCAAACCTCGCTCTGCCCCAGCGCCTCCGAGCCTCCATTTCCTCCTGAAACTGCTGGCCACAGGCTCTCCCAGGAGTGGCCGGGGGTGGTCAGTCCACCCAGCCTGGCTCGGCTCAAGGCTTCCCAAGCGAAACCTGCTCAGGTCTTCTGGCCAGCTGGTTTAACAGCCTTTCACTCTCCTGACCTTTGCCATCCCTGTCCTTTGGTAGAAGAGGCGTCACTCTGCCACCAGAAGGGGCTCAGGCACACGGGGGATGAGGGCCGAGGTGTGTCCAGCCGGCCATGCTGCCTGCTTGTGGCCTGGAGCAAGTCCGCGCCCTTCGCCACGTCTGAGGCTCCCGGGGCTGGACTGCTGGCCTCTGTACCCCTGGCGCCCACGGCCTGCTCAGGGAAGGACAGCCCTCCATCTGTTTTTATTCTTTGGAGAGGTTTTTGCCATAGGGCGCGTGCGCTCGCCAGAGAGAGAGACAGAGACACAGAAAGCGAGAAATCACCCCCAAGGGAGGATGGCCACGCCGCTATTCCTTCTCCATTCTCCTCTCAGGATCTTGGGCACGCACGCACGCACACGCACCCGGTGTGAGTTTAAGCCACCAGGTCTAGGACTTGAACCGAGGTTGGCTACATGGGAGTTCAGCGACATAGCCATTACACTAGCTGTGGTCCCAGGACAGCCCTGCATCTCAGAGGGCCAGCCAGCAGAGAGCCCTCCTGTACGCCAGACCTGCTGTGCTGGGCCAGAACACTCCAAGGCCTGGTCCATGCCCTCCCACCACTGCTCCAGAGGGAAAGGACACCACTCCTCCGGTTGGTCACGGAGGCCGGCCTGAGACAACGTGTGCAGTGCAGGGTGGGCCCTGCCGCGTGGGACTGCCTTGTCCCTTGTCATCCTGGTTCTGAAGGCCACTCAGAGCCTGAGCTGGCCGGGCATCTGCGATGGCTCAGCTAGAGCTGCTGCACCTGCCTGCCCCTGCACACAGGCCTGAGCCTCTCCCCTGACTCCCGGGGGCCAAGGTGCAGAGACCCGGGAGGGGGCTGAGCAGCAGGTGAGAGAGCGCGGGGCGCCGCTCCTGGGGCTTCCGTGGTGCTTACCCCAGTGCACCGTGTCACAGGGGAGCCAGCCCAGCCTCCAAGAGCACAAAGGGAGGGTCAGAGAGGTGCGTCCTGTGCCCAGGGGCACATAGCGAGCGAGGCACAGGGCAGCAGACCTCAGACGCGGTGCTGCTTCACCCCTTTTTACATTACAGCAATGGGGGGCAACGGCGGCACGCTGTAAAACTCGATGCTCTGCGCGCTTGACCCACACGGGAAGGTTCTGAGTTTGTGTCTGAGCACCTCCCTGAGTACCCTGGCCATGCTGGTGCCCTGGAGCCAGGGCTGGCTGAAGCTGGGACGGACCAGAGCATCAAGGCTCGGTCAGGGGTCTCTACCTCTCTTGCTTATGGAAGAAATGAATAAACTACATTTTTTTTTTTTAAGTTTGGCTACAGAGTACATGTGCTTACAGGAGAGAGGTCGAGAAAGAGAGGAGGAAAGTGAGAAATCATGCCCGGGAGGATGGCCATGCTCTAATCCCTTCTCCTCCATTCTCTTTCAGGACTTTGGGCACACACGCACTCATGCCTGGCATGATTTTTAAGCAGCTGGGTCCAGGACTCGAACTGCAAAGCCAGCCACGTGGGATCCAGTGCCAGTGCATCAACCATCACGTCCCCTAAAGCGTTTTTTATTATTATTATTTATTTGGAAAAATAAATCATGACTGAATAAATTCTGTGCTCTTTCTGTCTCTGTATATCGCTGTCATTCTCACTTCCCAGCCCAGGTTCTGAGAGCTGGTGGAGAGTGGGCTGAGGGGGAGGAGGCTGGGCCCCCGGAGAGAGGCAGGTTGGGCAGCCCCTAGAGGGCCCCCAGGGGCCAGCAGGGCCGGGGGGTGGGGAGGGGAGGCGCCCAGAGCCCATTCTGCAGGCCAAAATAGCACAAGGGGAAGTGGGCAGTTTTCGTATGAACAAGGTTTGCAGCGAGCTGACTGCGGGCGAGTGCAGCGGCTGGGCGGGCTGGGCGGACATGGCACTGAGCCTCCCCCCAGAGGGGCCCCAGGAGACCCTCCTGTCCAGTCTCCCAGCCCTCCTCATGCTGTAGATGGGGAAACTGAGGCCCAGAGGCCCCAGAGCAGGTGGGGGCGAGGAGAGAGAGAGCACCCCAATTCACAGCCCAGGACGGCATCATTACTGGGCTCTGCTCTGGGGCCTGTTATTTTTCCAAATAACTTTGGTTTCAGAGGAGGCTGCTGGGCCAGCCCCGTAGCCTATTGGTTAGGAGAACTGGATCCCACATGGCCAACCAAGCAGTTCAAATCTCAGCCCTGATGGCTTGAGAAACGTGCCAGGTGCGTGTACGTGCGAGCTCCGAATCCCAGCAGGAGGAGGAATGGAGAAGAGATTGCACCACTGGGGGTGCTCTCCCCTCCCTCTCTCTGTGTCTCTCCCTGGTGACACATGAGCAGTTTAGCAAAGGAGGGAGAGGGAGAGGGAGAGGAGGTGGTGGGTGGTGTGGGGATCTGGGCAGCCTGACTGGCCTGTCAACAGGGCAGGGCGTGAGGAACCCCCAGGCCCCACTGCGCTGCGAGCCGGGCGGCAGCGACGGTGGGTCCCCCGAGCTGGGCAGGACCTGCTCGTCTGTGAAGTCCCTCCACCCTCCCACAGCCCCGGGGCGGGGACGCCATGGTGCCACTTCACAGATGAAGAAGCCGAGGCTCATGGCCTGGCCGCCCTCGGCTGCCCCTCCCGGTCTCCGGCGGTCAGGGGCCACTCTGGGGGTTCACAGGGTGCTGCAGGCTGGGCTGGGGACAGTGAGGGCAGGGGAGCAGCTGGAGCCCCAGAAACAGGCCTCGCTGACGTCACAGGGCCAGAGCGGGGCCCAGGAGCCGTGCCAGGCGTCCTGGCCTCCTGTCCCACCCGCCGAGGGCCCCCGCGGAGCACCGGGCAGCCTCAGGCTCCCCGCCTCGGCTAGGCCCAGGCGCTCCTGGGAAAGGCTTACCTGAGGCCGGCGGCTCCTCACTGCGGCCACCTCATCCTGGGCCCACACCTGCCCGAGCAGCGCCACCACCACAGACGCAGGCGGGCAGCAGGCAGGGCGGAGGGCTTCCTGTCAGCCTGAATCATCCCTCACACATCCGCTGCTGCCGGACAGGCTGGCCGGGCAGGCGGGGCGGGGCGGGGAGAGACAGAGACAGAGACACACGCACACAGTGAAGGGGAGACAGGCCCAGGCGGAGGGAGAGCGGAAAGACAGGGATGCACCGCCCCCACTAAACTCACGCGCACCCCCAAACACAGAAGGTCACCGGGGGGAAGAGACACACAGAACACCCACGCTGTGTGGGAGAGAACCAGAGACAGAGAGACAAAAATGTACAGGCTGAGAGAGAACGAGAGACCCACCGGCTGTCAGAGACACACACAGGGAAGAGTGAGAGACAAGAGACTCAGAGAGCGAGAGTCCTCCTGGACAGCACACGTACAGGCGGACACACGCAAGGCCATGGCAGGGACAGAGCTGCGTGGCAGATGCCTGCAGGGCAGATGGAGCGAGGGGGGGAAAGGCAGGTGGAGGGAGGGACGGCCACAGGAAGCAGGGCAGGGTGCTGAGCGGAGACGGGGGGATGACAGCCCCAGCCCTCCCGGGCCCCGAAAGCCAAGCCTCATCCCCCCATTGCATAGAGGAGGCTCCTGGGAGAGGAGCAGGGGAGGACGGGCCCAGAGCACAGGCAGCTGGACGGCGGCCCGCACCTGCCCAGCGGCTGCCCACAGCTGTACGGGGCTGGCCATGCCCACCCCTGCCGAGGTGGGGTGAGGCGGTCACCCACGGAGCTGAAGGGCCTTGCACCTGGGAGGGGTCAGCACACACATGCCGGTTAGTGGGACGGAGCACTGTGCTGCTGTCATTAGACCCCTGGCTGGAGCCCATCAGGCTGTTGGTGGCATCCAGCCTGCTGGGGTCCGCTCCCTCCCTCGGTTTGGGTTTCTCTGTCCCGCCTGAGCCCTGCCAGGACAGGTGGCCACGTAGATGGGAGGCCGGGCCTGCCCGCTGCTGCCACCTGGTGGGGAAGAAGGGGAGCACATGCTCCAGGAGCTCTGGGAGCTCCATGGCTGGCAGGAGCTGGGCTGGCTCTAGGACTGAGGCCAGAGCCATCTGATGCCAGCTCTGTGCCTGCACAAGGGATCACCGTAATCTCTCAGTCCTGGGCAACCCAGGAGCGCGGGACTCATGACCACGCGCCCTTCCCACAGGGACGGGCTAGGAGACTGAGGCCCATAGGTGCTGCTTGAGAGTCTTCCTCAGAGGCGCTATCAGATCCGGGTACCTCGATGAACTCCCCAACAGAACCTGGAATGCTTTCTCTCTGCTTCTGCCCCCACCTATTTGCTTTATTTCTTTTTTTGGTTTTGCCATCTACATGTATTTAGAAAGTGTTTAATGGGCCAGCAGGTGGCATAGCAGTTAAGGCCCTGGACTCCCAGGATCAATGGATCATAGTTCAAGTCCTGGTCCTGGAGGCTTGAAATGCACACCGGGCATGTGTACGTGCATGCCTAAAATCCCAAGAGAAGAATGGAGGAGACGGGATTGCAGCATGGCCATTAGCCCTGGGAGATGATTTCTCACTTCTGCTCTCTCTTCCTCCACCCCTGTCTTACTTATTTCTTTTCCTTCAAGCTTTAAGTGCAGCGATCCAGGATGGATTTTAAATCTTTTTTTTTTTTTTTTTTTTTGAGAGTTTTTTTGCTATAGGGCGCGTGCACTTGCCAGGCAGACAGAGACAGACAGAGAGACAGAAAGTGAGAAATCACCCCCCAGGGGGGATGGCCACACTGCAATCCCTTCTCCTCCATTCTCCTCTCGGGATCTTGGGCACACACACACACGCGCCCCACGTGAGTTTAAGCCACCAGGTCCGGAACTCGAACCACAGTCGACTACATGGGAGTTCAGCAACATAGCCATTACACTATCTGCTGGTCCCAAATTAGTGTTAATTTCAAGTTCCTTCCCATGGAGGCAGTAGCTGCTTACACGCTCACCTGCCACATGGACGAGGCCCGCAAGCTCTCCACAACCAGCTCGTTGGACTCCTTGATTTCTGCCACTTTCATGGGTGTGCAGTTACTTCATCTTCGAATTCTTCATCTACAATTCTTTGATCAGAGGCCAAACATCATTTTATGGCCATATATGAGCATAAAAAAGTTTATGGAGAAATAGAAGTATGAGTTTACTTTGGTGAAAAACAAATGGAAATCCATGGGCCAGCTAGTGGGGTGGAGGTTAAGGGAGCTGGAGCCCACGTGGCTGACTGTGCCATTTGTCCTGGACCTGGAGGCTTGAAAAACACAATGGGTGCGTGTGTGTGCCCCAAATCCTGAAAGGTGAATGGAGAAGGGATTGCAGCATGGCCAATCCCCTGGGGACGGTTTTCTTACTTTCCCTCCGTCTCGCTGGCAACCATATACTCTCTACAGCAAATTAAAAAAAAAAAAAGGAAATCCATGCGTTTTTTTCATAATACATATTTCCATAAACTTTTTTTTTAAAGTTTGTTTATTTTCATGTGTGATTTTTTTTTAGAATTATTTTATTTAACTTTATTTATTATTATTATCATTGTTATTTTCCAGTTTTGATCAGAGAGAGAGAAAGAGAGAGGAAGTGAGAAAGCAAGCCACCAGGTCCGAGACTTGAACCATGGTCGGCCATGTGGGAGTCCAGTGCCCTTAACCACCATGCCACTTGCCAGCCCCTCCATAAACTTTTGAAGATCCCCTCATATTTTTCTCCCATGAAATACTTGTCATTAGTTTCCTACTGAGTTGCTTTCCTCTACATAATTTCAGAAATTCTACAAACACCTTATCTTTAGTTTGTAACTCGTCTTTTCATTTTCTCTGTTTGTGTGTGTGTGTATATATATATATATATATAAATAAATTGGTTAGAGGTTATGTGTGCTTGCCAGAGACAGAGAGAGAAGGGGAGAGGTACGCCCTCCCATGGCATGTCGTCACCTCGCAGTTCCCCTCTGCATTTTGGGTGCAAACACATTTTGGGTGCCTACTGTTTCCTTAGCTCCCAGGTCCAGTCTCGAACTGCAGGCTTAGTTATGTGGGATCTAGCTGCCTTAACCACGGGGTTGGCTCTTGTTTGATGTTTTGCACCTAGTGAGCGTACTTTCAATTTCAATGGACTACAATGCCTATGAGAAAGACTTACCAATTCTAAGAAATGTTGGAGAAATTTGAAGAATCTCTGGGCTTCCTGAAAAACTTCTCTAACCTCTCTCCCTTCCCAATTCTGTTTAGGATAAGACGGATGTGTGTGTGTTAGTTTGCTATAGGGTGCAGGTGCTTACCAGAGAGAGGAAAAGTAAGAAATCAACCCCTGGGGGGTTGGCTGTGCCACACTCCCTTCTCCTCCCTTCTCCTCAGGACTTTGGACACACGTGCACACGTGCACAGCATGATTTTCAAGTCTTTGGGTCCAGGACTCAAATCATGTAGTCAGCCATGTGGGATTCGGCTGCCTTAACCTCCATGCCACTTGCTGGCTCCCAGTGATATTTTTAAGCTAATTATTTCTTCCATGTGTGTGAGGATAGCACCCCCAACAGGATCTTAATGTCACCAGCCATCCCTTGCTTCAGCCAGCCCTGTGGGCATGCACGTGCCTGTTGTTCTCAGGGAGATTTCTGGACATGAACCCAGAACCTTCCCTTGTGAATCAGCCTTGCAGAGCACTGCACTTTACCGTTATGCCACTACCCATCCCAGTATTTTTTTTTTTTTAAGAATTATTTAACTTTCTTTCTTTTAATTTGACCAAAGAGAGAGAAAGTGAGAAAGCAAGCCACTAGGCCCAAGACTCGAACCAGTTGGCCACATGAAAGGCCAGCACCTTTAACCATCATACCCACCTGCCAGTGCCTGGCCCAGTATTTTTATTTTTTAAGAATTATTTAACTTTATTTATTTCTTTTAATTTAACCAGAGAGGGAAAGTGAAAAACAAGCCACTAGGGATTCAACAGTTAGCGTAAATGGCTGGACTCCCAAGTAGTCGACTGCGGTTCGCATCCCGGACCTGGTGGCTTAAAACTCACGCTGGGCGCGTGTGCGTGCGTGCGTGCCCAAGATCCCGAGAGGAGAATGGAGAAGGGATTGTGGCGTGGCCATCCCCCCTGGGGAGTGATTTCTCGCTTTCTGTCTGTCTCTGTCTGGTGAGCACAGGCACCCTATAGTGAAAAAAAAAAACAAAAAAACATGCCACTAGGCCCGAGACTCCAACCAGTCGACCATGTGGAGGCCAGTACCTTGAATCACCACGTCCCTGCTGGTGCCCCGCCCAGTATTTTATTAACATTTACCCTTTCTCCCACAGTAAATGAAACAAGTACAGGAACGAGTTCTCCCGTGTCCAAAATGATGACCGAAGAGCCTGCCACCGTGAAACAGTGCTTTTATTCGTGTATTTCTTATTTTACAGTTAGAGGGTGGTTACAGATGGGAGAAGAGACGGAAGTGGAGAGGTTATAATTAAATACGGAGTCATTGTTATTGTGGTTTGTTTTCATGACAAAATATTGCAAAAAAACTCACCTCTGACTAAATGTGTTTATAAGACTGTCAGACCCACACAAGCAAGACAGTAACTTCAGACACCTCAATGTTCCTAGAGATTGACCAAGAAAACAGAAGAGCCAAGCTCCTCCCCAAAGGAACCAAATCAGGTGCGGCCAGGCAGCAATATGCCTTCAGGACCCACCCTGAGAGCTGGCCCCGGCAACTAGCTGCCCGGGCAGTCCTCCTTCAGGGTGGATGTTCTAGGCCTTTTCACCACCCCTGTACGCCAGCGAACGGGCCAACTGGCTCCTCTTGTCCTGGGTGTAATCTGTACTAAGTAACTGCCCTTAGAACACCCAGCTATTCCCTACAAATCATAATTCAAAGTGGATGCTAGGCAGCAACCCCAACACCCTCCTCCTCCACTTCCTGACCTCTTCCTTCCTGCCTCCTGCTCATCCTGACCTCCAGGAGCAAACATGACACTTTGAGTCCTGATGGGAAAGCCAGGCTTCTGGAAGTCAGTCAGTTGTAGAAGTGTGTCCCCTCCTGGGACCAGAGGCCCATGCTGGAGGATCCTGCACCAATGTGAGTCGCCAAGTACCAGGCCCTTTAGGTAAGAACATTCTTTAGAAACTTGAGTCCCTTATCAAAAGAGCCTCACTCACGTGCCATTGAACTCTGGTTCTTGAAGCTAGCTCAAGAACAGTGTAGACGCCCATCAGCCATCTGTCTCAATCCATCGAGGCAGCTGCTGTGAACTTGCGTGAAAATGACCCACTCACTCAGGTGCACATGTGGGGACTCGGCAT